TAAGTCTGAACCCTGATAGGGCTCTTCGTAGTTGATAACACTGGGCCCTTGTGTGAACCTTCATTGTCAAAATGGCGGCACCTCAAATATTACCCGCAAAATTTTAAAAGGGAGCCTTAGAACAACCTACCATACGCAAATTTGGCTCCAAAGCGGGATCTTTGAACCCTAAACCCTAAACATCCCTAAACCTCAAACCCTAAAACGAAGAAACACGAATTGGAAGACCTCGGATCACTCTAGCAGTCGGAACTCAAGGCTCAAGTTTTCCCTTGCAAGGACCTTCTAGGGAATATCTAGGTGATTGTCAAAATTATGGTCCGTTTTTTGATCCCTATTACAGCATGACACCAAATATTTAGGGTACCCAAAAAGGGACCATAATTTTGACAACCACCATATAACCATGATAGTAGTTTCCATTTTCTTTTCCATTATCCCCCATATAACCCCCATATAACCCCAATATAACCCTAATATTACCCAAAAAAGAACCATAATGTTGACAACCACCCATCTAGGGGTGTCCTAGGATTTGTGGCTTAGAAGCCTAAATCTGAGGGAAGTGAAATGAGATATAGAGTAAGATTATATCCTTTTTTTGGGGTATAGTATTTTTTATATAAGGAATATAATCTTACTAGGTTTAACCCCCCAAAAAAACGCTACTCAAATGGAAATGACTGGAAGCTGGGAACATGTGAGCCTTTACGTATAACTTAGGAGGACCCCCCGCCCAGTAATAGTGACTATACGAAATAATAGGGATTGTATTAGGGTCCTCTTATATTCCTATTATACCACTATTACTGGGTGGGGGGTCCTCCTAACATGTTACTATTATAGTGTAGAGGCCCGAAGAGTTACCAACATTTTCCTCTGAAATCCTCACATAACTATAGGTAATATCACAACTCAAAGCCCTGCTCTAGTTAAATCAGCTCCCACATTAGATTCTTCCTCGGCCTCATCTTTGGGTAGTTGGATCAGCTTGGGCATCCCTAAACCCTGAACCCTTCCGAAGCTTTATCTTGTTACGTGGGGCGACTAGAGAAAACGCAGCAAAGAGCAATTCTTCTCACAGCCCTTAGGGTTGAGTGTTTAGGGTTTAGGGTTGAGGGTTTAGGGCTTGTTTACTGCCGAGGAACCTTACATCTTTATGATGGTCCAAATTCTCCCACTCCCCTCATTTTTCAAGAAAGCCTGAAGCGCCTTAACAGCTATCCCCGGTTGTGGGAACGCCTTGACTACAACTTGGACCTCAAAGGTAGCAACAACAATCACTCATGACCCATAGCGCATTGTCTAAAAAGGAAGGCCCATATTCTACATACCTTGAGGGGTCCATGTACGCGCCCTGAAAACCTGGAGCCTTAAACCCTCAACTGCAAGTCTATGTTGGTAATCCAGATAAACGCAGACCTAGTCCCCACGCCCCAGGTTTGCACAACCTGGCGGAAGCTCTCGCAGCTCTACAGAGCTCGCTGGCCACAGGACCTCTCATGCTTCTGGAAGTTACCTGGACATAGACCCCTAAAGGGATCAAGAATGGAAGCCCTGCAATGCTGTGCATTGGAGAAACTGCAACAGCAGCAGTAGGGTGTTTGGAGGTTCCATGGTTTTCATCCTTTAGGAGGATCGAGGTATGCGTCTCTTGAAGGGGAAGATGTAGGGATGCATGGCAACCTCTAAAGCAGATAGGCATGCAGCTGTGGGGTTTTTGGGTTGGACGATTAGGTGGTTGTGTTCAAGCATTGAGGAGTAGTGGTGTCTCTTTTCCAGCCTTATAGGGGGTTCACAAGCTCAGAGGCGTTTAGGTAGGGTAGGGTTTTGGGTTTAGGGTTTAGCAATCATTCCACCAAGCAAGGTAGAGCCATGTCCAAGGTGGTCCTGGTGGCTTTTGTTTGGCCCCTGACTGTCGGGGATGGACATGGGTTCCCGGTAAAGACACAAGCGCTGATGATTGCTTCTTGCGGCATGACCCTGTCCGTAGGGAGGCATCCAGGAACCTGAGGGAGCCTTTGGAATGGTTGATAGGAAGGATTGGGCTGTGTCGGGGATTACCAGGTCACCTAACCCCCCTTAGATCCACACATACCGCAACCCTGAAAACCTTACAACGTCAAGTTTGCAGCACGACTTCTTCTGCTTGCGTGCATCTTTCCGGTTTCAGGTTCGTGTCGGGCTTAGGGTTCAGGGCCACATCACCCAATTCGATTATGCGGCTCTGACTTGTCCCTCTGAGGGCCCCACTTCCATTTCGCATCCTCTTGTGATAATCGTGTTAAATACGCCCCCCCCACATCAACAAACCCAATCAAACTTGAGGGGCCATTAACGCCGCGTCCTCACACTGAACTGCTGTGGGGGAGTGGGAGGTGATCCTTATAACTACAGCCCCCCTTAAGTAGATAAGAATATGAGGTATATGGGGATCTTATTGTAATATACCTAAAGCCATATTCTATCCCACAAAAGGGGGACTATATCCCTGTAGATGCCGGATGGTATCGCTGTACTTATATTCACTCCACTAGTCGCCCTTGAGCGCCTGCATCTTCACACCCTAAAGCCTTCCCCTAAACCCGAAACCATCCTAAACCCACAATCCTAGTCCCTATATGGGGGTTTCCCAAAATTAGGGGTACCATTTTGGGGGCTATTATAATAAGGACTATAGTATATTGGGGTCTATATTGGGGTCCCCTTATTTTGGGAAACTACCATATATCCCTATAGAGCCCTCATCTATACCCTAATGCCTGAACCCTTGTTATATCTAAAGTGGCCCTTAAGTACATAGAATATGGCTTTGGGTATATTATAATAAAATCCCCAGATACCCCATATTCTATCTACACTTAAGGGACCCTAAATCCTAAACCCTATATAACCCATTGCAGTAGTTTCCATTTTCTTTCCATTATCCCTATATAAGGGGGGACTGTTACCTTAAAACCCCAATATACTATATAGTTGCTTCCATTTTCTTTTCCGTTATCCCTATATGAGGGCCCCAATATAGACCCCCAAATACCAGAATCCTTATTATAGGGACCCCCAAAAAGGTACCCGTAATTTTGGGAACTACCCATATATCTCAGTAGTGGGGATGTGGAGGACGTTCGTCGGCTACTGCAACTTCACGAGGGCCATGGCTGGCCATTAGCCTCCACTAGAGAGGCGCTGCAGGCAGGCCCTACATGTCCCTTTAAGGGTTTAGGGTTTAGGGTTTAGGGTTATGTGGGGGTAATTTGGTGGTTTAATGGGGTTTCGGACTTAGGCTCCTTTTTTTGGATAAGACAGGGATCCAAATAGCCCAATGTGAGTAATATTTACAGACTTTAGGGCCCAATGTTGGTATTATCTGTCTGCTTGAATCCCTAGGGATAGTTTTGGGCCTTAAAGTCCATAAATTCAAGCAATCCTCCTTATAGTAATAGCCCCTTAATATGGAGTTACCTGATGGTACCCATTTCTGGGTGGGGGGATTGACCTAAATCCATAATCCATAAACCCTAAACCCCTAATCCATAAAGCATAGCTCATTCGGGATACTCGTATTGGAAGCTCCGGGATTGCGTCTTGTTGTCCATTTATACCCTGGGAGTCCCTTAGGCTTACTGGTGGTTAGTAGGGAATGAGCGAACATACTTTAGGGTTTTTTTTTATAGAATCTCTATATAATCTCTATATACTATACTCCCTTATTCCCCACTACCCCCCCCAGTAAGTGGGACACCCCCTTTTCAGAAACTCCCCATATCGGGATCGTGTAGGAACCTTATGTGGCCAAGGTTCTTTGTGAGTTTCGTTAACCTTTCTCGCTTGTCTTGGGGTTCATGAGTAACATGGATATCCCCACATTTTTTGTTTTCTGCTCGTTGCTTCTAGCAAGTACTTCAAGTTCCAGTCGGAATCCCGCAGCACCAGGTTCACTACACTCAAACCACTGTTTGTTATGATTCCTTGTGCAGGTTCTTGCCAGGGCGTCTTGGCAGAACATGTTGCACCTAACGGACTTCCCGGTTCCTCGGCAGCGGATCACAGTAATCTTCCCCTGTCTATGAAAGCCTTACCCTCGAATGAAATGTGTTTGCAATATGATAAGCTTATCCCTTTGGGGAACTGCAGGCTGCACCGATGTTCTAAGCTTTGTGACGTTTTCCTTGCTGTCTTAAGGTAGGTTGTTGCGGTGCTTTTCGCAGCCTCCCCACGTGCATGGGTTATGATGAAATCACCCTAGTTCGGCGCACCGCAATAATTTGAGAGTTAAGTTGCTCTTCCGGTAGCCCTTCCCCAATAGCCTCACCCCAGTCCAAGCACGCATGTCACATCAAGCGCGATGTTTAGATATGGAAGCTTCTATAAACGCAGAAGGGACCCCTAGTCCCTGTATGATGTGACACTCTCTTTAAAGTTGACAGTAGCCGTTGGGGGGTGGGGCTTTAAGCGTTTGTCGTAACTCCCAATCATTGTAGAGCGTCTCTTCAGTAAGACGTGTGTATCACTACGGATTGTAGTCCATAGTTAGATGTCCTTTGGGGTCTCTATCAATAACCCCCCATCTTTAAGACTTAAGAATACCTCATATCTTCAGTGCACCAACGCACACCAAGCAGGACAACAAGCAACCAAAAGCCATATGTTTTAGAGGCTCAGAATTTCTGACGGCAAGGACTTTTAGTGCTGTAGTTGAGCTCTCTGTTGCGGCTAAATCCTTGACACCACCCTTAACATGACGCGCTCGTGCACCAAGCCTGGTGGGGAACCAAAACTACAACCAGATGTTTGGTCTCAAAAGAAACAACTCCCCAGGTAAGAATCCTAATGCGCAAAAAGCGGATGTTTGGGAAGGTTGTTTTTGTTGTTCACTTTGTTTGACTTCCCGCGTATAGTCGTCTATAGAGTCGAGTCATAGGATACAGATATATATATATGTATTTATCATTGTACATATAGAGAGTGAGAGAGAGAGAGATTTGCGCAAGAGAGGACAGGAGTGGCGGGGAGACGTAGACCGTCTGAGACCTCCAGCTGCCAAGAGACCGCAGCGAGAGAAAGACGGTCAAACCACGGAGCCAGCAGCGCGCACACAGCAGGGCGCACGAGGGAAGAAGGGGCCAGAGCTCTGCACGGAAGAAGAGGAGAGGGTGATCAGCAGGGAACTGCGAGCCCTGGAGGAGGAGGAATGCAGACAACAGTATGAGGCAATGCAAGCGGAGGAAGCTGATAGAGACAACGACCTGTATGAGGCGATGGAAGAGCAGCTTGCGATCGAGGCCTATGAGGACTACCAGAGACAACAGCTGCAGCGTGGTGGAGACACGGGAGCAGCAACGGCCCTAGATGAGGAGAATAGTCAGGAGGAAGAGGCGACAGAAGGCAGCGGGGCGCGGCACAGTGGCTGAGCTCCTACTACGCCTACCACCGCTGCGGGGCGCGGCGAGGGGCTGAGATCCGACCACGTCCACAGCTGAGGGGCTCAGGTTAAGGATCACTAAAAAGGGGCAGGCAAGAAAGCCAAGGGCTGCGGGACAACGAGGGCTCCTTCTTGGTTGACATTGTTCCCCCTAAGTAGGTGTTTAACCAGTCACGGAGATGTCCCGAAGCCATTGTATGTGCCCGACAGGGAAAGACCTCGACTAAAGCCACCTTTTGTCTCCCCTAAGGGCTTCGTAAGGAGCATAGGGCATCTTGCAGTCATGTGTTTCGAGCGACATGACGGCTGGGAGTGAGGCAGTTTGAAGCGCTTTTTCACCAGGAGCGGGACAGCACGGGGGACCCGGCTGTCAAAGGTGACAGGTGTGCTGGAAACCAGCATGGAAATGAGTGGGGTGAGGTGGGTAGTGGGGTTGGCTACGTACCTAGGTTGCACGCTTTTATGTGGGGTTGGGTAGATTCGTCTCGCATACGTTTGCTAGATTCACGCGGTTCCCAGCACAAGCCGTAAGAACCTGACAGGGCTAAACACCGTGCCGTTCGAGCATGCAGAGCAGCTTGCAAACTGAACTAGTGTGTAGGGGTGCCTGTGTTTGTGTTATGCGGTAGGGTCCCTGGTTCTCATACACAGTACTCAGCAAGTGTGCGGCATGCATCTAGACATCCAAGAGACTAATCCTCAAACGACGTGAATGCCAAGAAAAAGCTGCCGTGGGCGATCCCTCGAAAAAAGAAAGGAGAAGACTTGGGAAATGCACCGCGGGGGAGTGCAGCCCGAAAGGTCCTTATTTGTTGCTTCACAGTTACCCGGAGGAAGTCTCTGGATGGTAGCACAAGTTTGCGCTAAGGATGATAATAACCCGCTCATAGGCTGTTTTGTCAGTTTTTCGGCTGTGCAAGTCATAGCGCAAGCTAGCACGTGTTTTTCAGCAGCAGAGCTCTGCCAGTAGAGCAGACAGATGGGGCAAAAGCGGGGGGATGTATAGATGCCTTGATGGAGACCCTCTCGACTCGGGCCCAAAACATGCTCATGTAGTAGCCTGGCCAGGCTTTCCTCAACAGTCCTGTCAGTTTTGGGTAGCTAGCATGGGGGGAATTTGAGGCCTGAGGCTACAGCGGAGCGTGTGCAAGCAGTGTCACAGCCAACTGGAGGATAGGGTCCCGCAAAAGCTGTTGATAATTTATGTGGCATATACTCTCGAACTTTCTCTTGCTGTTTTGCGGGGTCTGTGTACTCGTTGGTCCCGACCAGACCGCGCAAGGACACTGGGGCTCAGGGCTGTGCCCTGACCTACCCACGGGGGTAGGTTCAGCCCGTAGAAGAAGAAGAAGAGAGAGAGAGAGAGAGGGAGGGAAGGAAGGAATGAAGGAAGGCAGGGAGGCAGGGAGGGAGGGAGGGAGGGAGAGAGATAGTTCCCCGCACAATTTTAGGGTTTGGGCCATGGGTTGTTGTTACATTGGTGAAAAGCCTTGGGTTCCACGTGCCATCCCAGGCTTTTCGTGACAATGCGTGGCCGGCCCACGTCACTTCCGTGGCGTTGAAAATGCCGGTGCCGCGGGGAAGTCATGAAATCTGAAAGCCGTGTCCGTTGGTTTAGGGTTTTGGGGAAGTTTGTTACAGAAGTTTTTCCAGTGCGCGGTCTGAAGAGAAGGGTTCCCTGCATATCTTCTGGTTTTGGGCATGGGAAAGTCATGTTTTCCGTGTTCCTGCATTACGAGGGTCCATCTGAAGTGCCGTACCAACTTTTTTTTGTGGCTAGATGCTTGGGCACCTCTACCTTCCGCATACTGTTTTGAAGTACTTCTCCGCACATGCATAGAATCCCTACACAGATTAGTTCCCTAAAAAGAGATAGCTGCAGGAACAGATTACCTTACTATTGGGCTTAGAAGCGTCCTTGACTCATTGACTGTATGTGGGAAAAAATCTCGCTTGTAGCTGACAATCGTAACATCCACATCCTAAACCTAGTCCCCCTTAAGTAGATAACATATGGGGTATATGGGGATCTTATAATAATATGCCCAAAGCCATATTCTATCCATTTAAGGGGGACCATAACACCCAAGCATGTAGCATCCCTTCCTGATCTTTACGAATTGGAACCTGGTCAGGTGAAGACGCAGCCGGACAACTAGAGCCCGGGCTGCAGGTAGGAAACCACGTGGGTTTAGGGTTTGGGTTTATTTAAGGTCGTACAGTTCATGCAGAGAATCTTGCTTGACCATACGGACTCCTCTGTACCTGGCATTGGGAGTTAATGTATTCTAGAATACAAAGGTCATGCAGGAGAGTTAGTATCATTTGTAAGCTTTCAGCCGGTTTTGGGTCAAGCAGGGAATGTTAGCGGTAGACCAGGATTTACCCTCCCCCAAACCCCGCGCGTCCTGCTTTTGTTTATGGGGCCTCCAGTCTATCCGGATCCACTTCATGGATCTTTCATAACCCCTGCCCTAACATACAAAACAAACCAACCCCTAAATTTTCTGTCCGCATTTATAATACGCCACAATAGGAACATTTACTGTCAGGGGTGGGCTCTTCATGCCACTGCCAAAAGGATTCTTCGTTCCTCCTAGCGGAGCAGGGCATAAGTTGTCACTGCTCTCCACCTCTGCGTCCGTGAGGGATGCTACAAAAGCTCACCCTGAACCCTCAACCCCAAACCCTAAACCTCATTGATCATTTAAGTTTGGACTTCTCCGTGCTGCGTACGCTGCGGATCCCCTTTGCCTCCTTCGCTTGGCGACTTCTGCACGACGTGCCGCTTCCCTGGGTGACCATGATGGCCAGCAGGCGCCTGGTGTTTGGTGGGGGTTGCGTGTGTGCATATATATATATATGCATAGATAGGGGGTATGTAGGGTAGTGGTATGTGTTGGTTATCTTTGGTTGCACAAGTCACAGCAGCCTAGTGTAGGATTATATATGGTAGGACTGTATGGGGGTTATACATGTGAGCCCCAAATCCCAAATTATGGCTCTCAGAAGGGCTGGGGGTCATCACATGGGAGTTTCCCAAAATAGGGCCCTCAAAACAGTGGCGACGACCTTCGGCTCATGTCAGGAAAGGCCATACTTGTTGTTGCCTGACAATAATCTAGCTTGGGCCTGGCTTCTATGTTTTAGTGAGGCCCGCCCAACCTCCAAGAACAAAAGTCAATAACCTTTTTTAGATGCAGCTTCCTGAGCTTGAGGGACTGATTTGCTTGCTACTCGAGATGTGCTGTAGGCGTAGGGTTCTTGATTAGCGGCAGGGAAAATTTCACAGCTGGAAGTCTGATGGCATAGGTTGCTCTTGAGCTGCTCGGGCCTGCTCAGTGCAGAGATCCGTCAATTGCTTTAACATATTCCTGGATTAGGTTCTGCTGTAACGGCCTGCGCCCCCGCAAGTTGAAGTCCAGCCTGGGCGCAAAAACCCAAACGTACATAGTGGAGAGCATTCGAAACCAGCCGCTGGCATCTGCGAACCCACAGCTGTCCTAAGTCTTCAAAAGACCTTGAAATCCTTGTAATGTCGATTCAATCTGAACCGCTGCTTTAGAGCACAAGGCAACAGAGGGGGCAACAGACGGGGCAAGAGGGCGCTCTCTATGACCAGTTTACAACTTCCAGCAGTAGGGCTTTTAGGACATAGCTATATTTCTTCCCGTTATGCGTTTTTTTGTACGGCAATCTGTAACTTCGGGGCCCCGTGCTTTTTGAACCTTCTTGGGGAAGCTGCCTGAAGCAGGCCAGCTGTGCGGGAGGGCATGACTTCTTCACGCGCGGCGTCCTGCGACTCTTGGCTAAGCAGTATTTCAAAAGGTTGAGTACATGGTAGTTACCTTAAATTGGGGGACCTCAATATAGACCCCCAAAATACTATAGGCCTTACTATATGGACCCCAGAAAGGTTGGAAACTAGCGTATACTTGGGCCCCAGAGTACTGATATAGGAACTCCTTTGGATTCGGCCCCATGTATTTACTATACGTATACCTACATGCACCCTTTGGCTTTGTTACGGCGTTTTGGGTTGATGTGAATCAGGTCAGGGTCCATCGGACTTGGACGGCTTAGTGTCTTCAATCTCCTGAACTGGTGGACCCGAGGCAATTGCCACTTTGAGGGAGTAGGGCAAAGGTACCCCTAAGGGTCCAAGTACCCAATAATTAGGTACTTGGGTAGTGGGTAATAGTACTTGTAGTACAGGTTTTGGGTATATGATTAGTGGGTACTTGGACCCTCAGGGTACGTCACTTCTTGATCTGCGCTTCAGTGCCAGAAGAATGTTTTGTCAAAAGCGTGGGGCTTACATGCAACAAGCTGCAGATAAAAGAGGCCGCTCGTGCTGGCAGCACCTCACAGGGAGCGTCACGCAGCGTGTGGGGCCCTAAACCAACAGTGCTCTCCAATCACATGACACAACCCTAGACATCTCATAGCCCCAAGGGCTCCGAAAGACAATCTTTCACGACAATATCGGGCTTTGGGGCCACAAGGTCGCAGATTTCAGGTACTTATTTGTATAGAGTAGGTAAACTTAAATCTCCGGTTCATTCGCGTGGATGTCCACGTTCTCCAACTAACTGATTGTGTATTTTGGTTCACGGCTGCTGAGGAGCAAAGTGGAACTGAACATTTGAGAAGGCTTCTGCATCAGGCTCTCAAAGCGAACTCGTCTTTTGTAGTGCTGAGCCACCCCAACGCTTCAAGTTCGCGCGGCAAGGACTCTGAGTCGAAGACGCTGACTGCCGACCTCCTGTACGAGAACAACCTACAAGGCCAGCACTGCTTAATTATAGCATTCGGAAGCCTTAGTGAAAAAGGCGCGGCAAACACACAAGGCAGCAAGGCTTTGCCGGCTTTGCAGAGTGAGCACTTGGGACAACGCTCAGTGGGCATCAGTCTTTGAAACAACCCCTCGTAGGCCCTAGACCCCAAACCTGAAAAGTGCCCCCTTCAGGAAGGCAGCGGCACCTGCAGCTTCTACAAAAGCAGCTCATTCAATCAGAAAGCCGTATTTCAGGAACCTTTTGGGGGACTACAGGTTTATATGAAGGTAATGTTGGGGCCATGCTGGGTAACTCCATCAGGGACACCACAGACATTAGGTGTACAACCCTGGCACCTTTTGATCGTGTTTCTGAAGCTGTTTCTCAAGCGGGGGAGTAGCCCGCCAGGGTGCAGAGGCTAGGGGGCTTAAACCTCATCCCCAGGCCTGATGCCTAAAGCCCCATCCTTAACCTATTGAACCTGATGCCGTAAGCCCAATCCCCTCTTTCTAGAAACCTGGCCTAGGGTTTAGGTAGCTAGAAACTAATCCTTCGAGCCTGACCCCTGAACCTTAAACCACCCTTAATTGCGCATCCAGGCCCACAAGCCACGTCGTAAGTGGCAAATCCAGGCCATAAGCTCCTAACGGCCCTAACGCGACGAAGGATCCCCTAAAGGTCTTAATCCTAAAGGGGATCTAAAAAGGGTAAGTCAAAATGAAATCACAAACCCAAATCCTTGATCATCAACCCTCGGCTGGAGGTTCAGGAAAATCATGACCCAAGTATCCTAAACCCTAAACCCTAACCCAAGTATCATTGGTATTTTCATCCAGCTGGAACCGGCTTAGGGCGGCTTAGAAGCAGAATTGTACTGGGTTGATAGTCACCCTGCACCTCCAGGTAAGTACAGCCTAAATCTTAAACTCTAAATCCCAAGAAGTATTAAGGCCTTAATGCTAAACCCTGAAACCCTAAACCTTACAGCCTAAACCTTAAACCTTAAACCCTAAACCTTAAACCTTAAACCCTAAACCCTAAATCCCTGAACCCTGAAACCTCAAGAGCTGGGTATTCCTGCCTGGAGGATTGCAGCACTTGTCCTCCAGGGCCGGCCTGGTCGTAACACCAGGCCTTAGGGCTGACAAACAGGGATCATGAGGTTTAGGGTTTAGTATTTAGTATATGAGCTATAGTCTAAACTCCTTTAAGGGAGTTAATATAGGGGATTATATAGGGGACTACTATAGATAGCTGGGTTGGCCTTTGGGATACTTTAAATGTTTTCCCTACTTGGTTTCAGAAGGACCTTATATACTGATATTTGTCAAAGGGTTCCAAAGGCCAACCAAGAACAGGGATCATGAGGTTGAAGGTTTACTGGGTAGGCTCCTGGAATTATTAATATTTCCTAAGGGCTTTATAAGGGACCCTATATACTAATATTGTTCAAAGGGTTTTAGGGGTCAACCCAATTTAGGATTTAGTATATAAGGTTTATAGGACTTAAGGTTTAGGATGTAGTATATAAGGTTTAGGATTTAGGGTTTAGGGTTTAGTATTTACGGTTTAGGATTTAGGGTTTAGGATTTAGTATTTACGGTTTAGGATTTAGGGTTTAGGATTTAGTATTTACGGTTTAGGATTTAGGGCTTAGGATTTAGTATTTAAGGTTTATGATTTGGGGTTTAGGATTAAGTATTTAAAGTTTTGGTTCCACAAAGGTCCATATTGGCAATGAACAGTTACAGAGGGAGTATCACAGGATTCTACGTTTTCGGGATATTTCCCCGAAATCCTAAAAAGCAAATGGACAATGACATGGAACCTGGTTAAGAGTTCAGGGTTTGGCATACCTCTGGTTAGAAGGCAGTTAGGGAATTGAAAAGAAAGTTGAAATTACGAATTTACCAGGGATTATCAAGGGGCCACAAGAAGGATCCATTCTTTCATTCCATGCTTCCCAGAGGTAAGGCTAAGGCTTCAGAACCGCCTAGGCAGGGAACAGCAAGCTATTTACCCGTAATTTTCGGTGTCGCTTATGATTCCTAGTAGAGTTAACACTAGCATCTTGTAATATCTACGAAGCCAGAATTTGCATGCGGGCATGCAGTTGCGCAACTCAAAGCATTGTAATCTTCGAGGGGCCCCAAAAAATTCTCGCCGCCATTCCCGCATATTCTACTGTCCTCAAAAACCCCCTTCTTCAGAAACCTGTAATCGGCTTAGGGTTTAGGGTTTTACAGATACATGTGCGCACCTTATAGCTCAAAGCTCTGAACCATGAGCGCTACCAGGAGAGGCTAGATGTGCTTAAAGGCCATCCTAATTATGTATCCTCCCCTTAGGTACTCTACATACACCTAGCCGCTGTTGTTACTCCAGACCCAAGAGACCTTCAGTTTTAGGATCCCATATACAGATCCTTATATATGGCACCTCTTCCGGGTTCAAGGTACACCCTGAACCCAAAGACTGAACCCCCTAAACCTAAACCCTAAACCCTAAGTAATTCCACACAAAATTCCACAAAAAAATCCACAACACATCAAAACGCCGAAGCCCCAAGCCCTGAACCCTAAACCCTGAATCCCTGAATCCCTAAACCCTGAATCCCTAAACCCTGAATCCCTAAACCCTGAACCCCTAAACCCTGAATCCCTAAACCCTGAATCCCCAAACTCTAGAGTCAGATCTGGTTCCGGAGGCGGCTTTGTAACCTCCTCGGGCTGCACAGCCTGGAGCCTGGCAAAGTCCGAGCTTAGGGTGGGGGTTGGGGATTTAGGGTTTAGGGGTTAGGGTTTAGGGTTGGGGATTTCTAGGTACCCCAGTAGTACNNTTACCCTTTTTGTTTGGGGGTCTCCTCATCAAAACAGAACAGTTGGAAAAACGGTACAGTTATTATTTAGGGTTTACTGGGGAACCTAGATTTAGGCTTGATGGGTTTAGGGTTTAGGGGCAAGCGGGGAACTCTTCGACGTCGGAAACTTAGATTTAAAGTCTGTAGCCTTTCATGAGTTGGGGAATTATGCAACTCGGGAACGTAGATTGAGGGCCCACGGTCCCAGAAGCTACGGGAGGAAACCGTTTGATTAGGGTTCAGGGCGAGTCGCGTACAATCAATATGAACATAGTGAGGATGTGGGTTTTCTAAGTATGCCAGCTTCTGTACCTTGCTTGACAAGTTGTTGGGTACTCAGTCGGCTTCAATATGAAAATGGCAACCTCTAAGACCAGCATATGTCCGCGTGTAAAGCTTAACAGCTCCAGTGACAGCAGCAACCCATTTAGGTATCTGCAACAGAACAGCAAGGGCAACGATATCCAGAAGTAATGCTATAAGCATCCTGAAACGCCAAAGACGTGTAAATCTCTAGGGTTTGTGGCTCGTTTGGTCCTTATTGTAGAGGTGGCGGTGCCTCCTTTCGAGAAAATTCGAGACATGCAAATCTTCAATTTAAGCTGTAAACCCTTCGCCAAGCCGCAGTGGTTTAGCTCAGAATTCTACATTGCAAGCCTTAGCTAACCCTGAACCACAAACTCTAGATGCTAAAATCCAAACCACGCACCCCAGACCCCAAAAGCCCGAAAGCTTAAGCTTAAACCCATAAAACCCCCAACGCCTAGACCCAAAAGATAAATTCTTAATTCCCAGGCGCCCAGATGCTTAAGGCCCTAAGCTCCAAATGCTAACACCCCTGAACCCTGCAACCCCAAAACCCAAATCCTTAACACTAAACCTTCAGCCCTATAGATCTAAACCCCAAGCACTTAACCCTAAACCCCAAACTTAACAGCTGAGGTGAGAAGCCGCGTGGGTCCTGGCATGCGAGAGCTAGCCCCTGGATGCATCAAGGGTGATATTTAGGGATTATACAGGGAGTCTATAGGAGTTATGCAGGATTGACGTAGGGGCTATACAGGATCATATAGGGGTTCTACAGGGTGTAGGGCTATTACCCCAACAAGGTAGAATCAAATGGAAACTGCAATGGGACCCCCTCACATTCAAACACCCCACACTCCTACTGTCCCATTGTGATATACTATAGTTCATCGGAAATTCTAATTTCAGGGATGGGCGGTTTTGATGTTGAGGGGGTCGAAGCTTCGGGTTTTATGTGTGCTGCTGCTTGGGTTTGTAGGGCTTAGGGTCCTGCAAACAGCCCTAGGGATGCAAATAGCCCAATGGATGAAATGTTCACAGACTTTGGGCCCAATTGGTTCCCCAGAGAAGGGTTAAGAGCTTGCCGGTGCAGGGATGTGGGCTTCGTACATGTACCATCACATAAAACCACTATGCATGAGCTGGCCCTGAATCCCTAAACCCTACACGGTTTAGGGGTTTAAGGGTTTAGGGTTTCGGGTTTATGCCCGAAGCTCTGGGTGCCTGATCTTAAACCCTCTGCCGTGGATTCCGAGCCTTCGCAAAGCCGAAAACTCCGAAGTCTGAAGCCCCTTAATCTCTAAACCCCTAGCCCTCTAAAACCTTAAGTCCCTGAACCCTAAAGCCTCTCAAACCCTCACACTCTTAGCTGTTCAGCCACCAGAGCCTCAGATACTTGATTTGTCAGCCCCTAACCCCACAAACCCATACCTCTAAAGCCCCTGAAGCCCTAAACCTTCAGATCTTGAACCCATAAGCCCTTAAGCCTCAAAGCCTCAAGGCAAAGGCGGTTCCTGGGTTGTGCCTGGTGGGCTGGAGCCAGGGATGGTCATCAAGCTTCCGTAGCTTCCCTACAACCTGGGTGGGGTTCAGGCATTTAGGGGTTTTCGGGTTTATGGTTTAGGGTTTGTGGGCGGAAGGGGGGGTGAAATTTCTATAGATGATTCTGAATGTTATCCCCGTCTGATTTCTTGGTCCTGTGTGCCCCAGAAGTGTTTGAGAATTGATTCGTAGTGATGAAGTCATTTGGGTTGCGGCCCGTGGGTTTCGGCATGTGAGTTCGGGATGGTACTGCCTAGGGCTTCTAGGCGCTTTTGTGGTGCTGCTCGCAGCCCTAAACCCTGAATCCTATTTTCAAGCAGCTCGAGGGCGAAGGCTTGGCAAGGATTCGGCTTAAGGTTTAGGGTTCTGGGTTCGGGGCTGGGGTTCTAGGGTTTTGGGATTCAGGAGTACATGTTGGCTCCATGGCCTCCAGATGCGTCACCACCAGAGGCTCTTAGCAACCTCCTGACTCAGACTTACATGTGAGACATTCCCAAAAGTTTAAGGGTACAGTTCCAAAAACTTACCATCCCTAGCATAAAATAATTCCAAGAACTGACCCTATATGCACATATATCACCCCTTGAGAGGGATCCCGACATCAGGAAAAACCCCGGAATCTGAGCCATAGCCTAAACTCCTAGCATCCCGCTTCATAGGCCCTACAATAGTCCCTTCTATATTCCCCTATATAACCTCCTTTGAGGAGCTTAGACCTTCTACGCTAATCCCGAAACCCTACACCCTGAACCCTAAGAAGCCCTAAGCCCTATATAATCCCGTTTCAGGAGTTTAGACTCTAGCTCCTATAGTGCCCCTGAATTGGACAGAATATGGGGTATCTGGGGATCTTAGTCTGGTATACCCAAAGCCATATTCTATCTACTTAAGGGGGACTATATTTCCCTAGTTTCCTTTTAATTTTCCATGTTCTTTTCCATTTAAATTCTCCACTATGGGAGGATGATAAGGGGTTATAGACCCTGAGTCCTAAACCCTAAACCTTATATCTTCAATCAGTAGGGCTTTGATTTGGGACAACTGAGGTGACGGCTCTCAGCTTTGCTCCCTGAATGCAGGGACTTGCAGGGGTTTAAGACTCGAGTTTAGGGTCAAAGGTCTAACCCTAAACTTAAACCCTTAACCCTACCGCTCTAGGGTTCAGGGTTTAGGGTTCAGGGTTTATGCCAAGTTCGGAACACACCAGAAGCTAAGCAGAAGCTTTTGGGAGGGATCTCCCCACCTTCGGGGTTTAGGGTTTAGGCCACCTTCGGGGGTTGTGTATGAGGGGCTTGACGTGGCATATCCCTATGTGTCAATTTGTTGGCTAGATGCTTGTAATTTGTGGTGGCAGGCTACACAAGCATTTTCAGGGGTTATGTATAGGGATATATGATGGGCTGGTTTTTGGAGCTACCATTCCAGAAGATTTTCCGGTTTGCAGTTAAGCAGCTTAACTTTGATTAGAAGGAGACCTCATCTATGATTCTTACATGCTAGGTTAGCTGCTTTTGGTTTCCCCTATCAGTAACCCAGGTTTTTGAGGCCCTCAGCTTTTTTGTGCCTAGGAAGAGAAAACCCAAGTCATGAGGTTGATCCAGGAGTTATGTGCGGTTCGGGGCTACCACTAAGTTACCCAAAAAGGACCTGTGGAGTCCCAGTCTAGGTACTGCAAATCCAAGTTATGATTAGGTGCTCTCTTGCAGTTGCGATATAGTTATAGGGTATAGGGTTTAAGGTTTAGGGTTTAGTGGGTTGGCTTTTGGGATGTTTGGAGATTTTCCTTATTGGTTTCATAAGGACCCTATATAGCTACATTATTCACAGGCCTCCAAAGGCCAAGCAAGGATAACATCAGCGTTCCGTAGCAAGCTTACCCAGACCCCCTAAAGGATCCAAAAAATGGACCCCCCCCCCCGTCCCCCAACATGAACCCATTATTACATTGGGGAAACTAGGGATTATTAGGGGGTTTCCATGTTTTGGATCCTCTACCTAAACCCTAAACCCTAGGGGGTCTGGGTACTCAAGTTTCTTCAGGGTGAGCAGTTTTGCAAGGGAAGGCGCCATGTCATGGGGTTTAGGGTTTAGGGTTTGGGGAGCTCATGTTTTAGGGTTTAGAGTTTACGGAGTTCAGGGTTTAGGGTTTAGGGAGCTCATGTTTTAGGGTTTAGAGTTTACGGAGTTCAGGGTTTAGGGTTTATGGAGTTCATGTTTTGGGATTTAGGGTTTAGGGAGTTCAGGGTTTAGGGTTTAGGGAGTTCATGTTTTAGGATTTACGGTTTAGGGAGTTCGGGGCTTAGGGTTCAGGGAGTTCAGGCTTTAGGGTGTAGTAGGCCTACACAATTAACAAGGATTGAGAGTCAAATGGACAAGAGATGGAACATGAGAAGGAAAGCAGCGTTGCGTAGTGTTTTTCTATCGAACCCGAACCCTAAACCCTAAACCCGAACCCTAAATTTTAAATAAGTTCCACTACCATCTTGAGGTCCAGCCAAGGCATCCTTCAGGGTGTAGGGGTTTGGGTTTAGGTTTTAGGGTACAAGGACTTTGGGACCACCTAAAATACGCAATTAGACACTGATAGTCCGCCCACTAAGTCTAGAGGTCGTGGCTGCAGGAATATTATAATTAAGTCTAGTTATGTGTTCAAGCCGTAATCTCTAATCCCTGAAGCCTGAACCGTAAAAGATTATAGTAGTTTCCATTTCATGTTCGTTGTTCTGTTTCATCTGGCTCTCCCTTGCTGAAGCAACGTCCTTGAAAATGGTGTCTGCCTGAGTTCAGGCTTCTTCTGCGAGCGCATGGAAGTTGGCGAGGATTCCAGTAAGAAATTCTATAGATTGCATCCAGGCCGTACCTACAGGTTCTCAAAGCTGGTCGGAAGCAATAGGTAAAACCGTCGCAGATCTGATAATCATCCATTGTAAGCTTGAAGATTCCATCCTGTATCTGGGTTCCTACATAACCTGTTCCACATCGTGCGCGCATGTCTGCGAAACTTCTGCAATGTATCATAGCATATGACCCTTACACTTTGTAACTAGTTTTGACAGCCTGCAATATTACCACCATGGAACGGGGGGTAATATGTATTCATAGGGGGGAGTGGGTTGGGGTGGGGAGGGGTGTCCGGGCCTTAATCCTAAACGGGAAAGTTGGATAAGCAAGGCCCTGAATCACGCCTGCAGTTTTTCCAAACCTAACCTGCCCTTTATAGTCTCTAAAGTCCTGGACAACAGACGGTCTAGGGTTCTGGGTTTCCCAAAATAAGGAGACACCAATATAGACCCCAAAATATTAAAAAACCTTATTATGGGGACCCCCCAAAAGGTCCTCCTACTTTGGGGAAACCCTCACATCAACTGATCCAGTATGTATTTCTTGAACTTGAGCTTAGCCCCATAAACCGTGGAATATGTATCGACAAGAAACTCTTCCCTTCGAATAACCTTAACCCCTTCAGCATCAAACGCTAGCAACTAACCTCCACCCTGAAACCGGAAACGCAAAAGCCTAGACCGACCCTACACTCTAAACCCCTATACTCTCCGCTACAACGGTAAGAAGTGCAAACCCAAGGCCCCCAGATCACTGTAAAGCGAATATGAACTCAAACGGCCTAATGAGCACTACTCGCTAAAGACCCCTAAGACCTAACTTTGTAGTGGCCCCTATACTGGGTGTAGGGCTTGGGGTTCATACTGCAGGAAGCAGGGTTCATAGCAACCCTAAACCCTCGACCCACGTGAGCAGTAGCTTATTTTAAACTCCGTTAAGGGGGCTTACATAGTTGATTATACCAGGGGCTCCTAAAGGCTATTTAGCCGGGATGCCAGGAGTTTAGATGCTAAACCCTAAACCCCGAAGCCTATACTAGGGGTGTTTAAGGGGGCTACTAGGAATTTAGACTACATGGGTGGTTGTCAAAGTTATGGTCCACCTTTCAATTTCAATCCCTATTATAATACGGCACCTAATATTTAGGCTACCCAAAAGGGGACCATAATTTTGACAACCACCCATATGGCCCCCGGAGGAGCGGTGCCCGCAGTGCAAGGACGCACGGAGCTGGTCCACGCTCTCTGCCACCTTCAGCCTCCAAGCTTGAAGTTTAGGGTTTTGGGATTTGGGTTTGGGGTTTAGGGTTTTGGGTCTAGGGGTTACTTACTAATGTGGTTACCAGGGAATGGAGGAATGGAAAAGAACACGGAAATTTCAAAAATGGGTGATAGGCACATAAGCTTCAAGTTTTAGAAGCAGAAAATGCTTGTCATCAGGTTCTAGCGTTTAGGAGCTTAAGGCTTAGGGTTGAGGGATGAGACTCCTGTCCTGCAGCTAGTGATGGGTGAGCCGCTGTCCGAAGCAGAGGATTCACAGGCTCATCCAAATAGTGTTGAAAAATCAGGCTTAAGGTTTGCCGATTTAGACACCAGTGGTATTTATAACCCAGCTATAACCGCAGCTACAACCTAAGTATAGCCATACCAAAAGACCTTGCCTTGTGTTATGAATAGAATAACAGGACCCAGCGCATCACAAACTTTTCTGGCGCGGCTGCAGCGTTCACGAGATTGTAAGAGTTTGCGAGAGCTTTGCCAGAGAAGCCTTGTGAAAGACAGGCCAGTCGCGCTTGGATGACAACATCAGAATAACACAAAAAGGTGTGGATTCAGAGAAACGCTCATACGCTGAATTTCACCGCCGCTTACCCTAAACCTGAACCCCATAACCTTCAAGCCCAGGCCTTGAAACTGAACCCAACTCTCCTGAAGTTTATTGCCCAGCACCCTAACAGGTTCGGGTCTAGGGTCTATAATGGTTTAAGTGATTCCGGATCAGGGCAACAAGAAGAACGTTTAATGCTCTTTAGGGTTACGGGTTTGGTTTAGGGCTTCGTAATACGTAAGATGATCACATTGGGAACATGGAGTGCTTTCATATACAGCCTACATTATCAGAACTTCGTCCCGTGAAGCTCGGTCAGCAACACCAGCTGAAACCAGCCCTGACCCCTCCCCACCGCGGATGTTTTGTCAGCTGCATGAGTGATATCTATTTGGGATATATACTATAGTCTTTGAGATGAGCTGGATCATATTCCCCTGTTGGCGTGACATCTGTTATGAAGAATTTAACTTTATGTGCTTCAAGCACCCAAAAGCGCTGATCGAACGGCAAGAAGGTATGAGCTTTAATGCCGAAGTGGCCGGCGAGCCGACGCAGGCACATTTGTTTGCTTTCTTCTATGGTCCCAAATGGTCTTTGCGTCAAAATCAAGGAGTACCATGTTTAGCGTACTGATCATGAGGATTACAGTCTTCAGCATTCGGCGTGTATATTGGGATTGGGGGTCCCCCAGTTTAGGGAAACTATCACATCATGAGCCCCTAGTAACTTGAGAAGCTGCCTGGGCAACCCCCAAAAATCACCACATTTCCGTAGGGCTAGGCAGGTAGGTAGCAGTCATGCTGAGAGAACAGGCTTCCATGCAGGCAGTGCGCTTCTGGTATCGCGATATATGTTGGCTTTTATTTCTCAAAATGGCGCTCCCTTAGGACAGTTGTCCCCAAGAATGGGTCCCGTATTGCGGTGCCCGCAATTTGGAGAACCCCGCCATTGCATCTGCGGCTAAGCTGGAGCGGGCATTTTGAGATGAAGCCTCTTTCGACGGGCAATCTAATTCGGGCTTTAGAGAGGGCTTCCGTACACCCTGACACCTAACATCTTCAGCCCCGAAACCGTAGTGAATAAAAATGATCTGTATGTAACACTGAACCGTAAAGTGCCTTTCTGGATTGGGTGGCATTGCAAATCAGGTTCAGAGTTTGCCGGGCACGGGGATAGTTCTTCTAAAGCCTGTCGCTATGTACCACATCCCGAAAAGCGTGTTTGTTAGATGAGCTTCTAAAGGGCTTTCCCATGTTGACAACGCCCTCATGTTGTGCGGCAGGTGAGTACTGTGTTATTGGGGTTCTATAGTCCCCGCTACAGAGTAAGTTTCGATGCAGCGTTCGCCTTTTGGCGGAGGAAAAGTCTGTTAACTGCTTCCACCACTCAACGAATCACCTCATGCCCACGTAACTAGTCCCCGTATAGTCCCCATATAGCCCTTGCCTGAACCACTAAAACAGTGCGAACTCAGGTGGAGTTCGCAATCGAAGCAAGGGCCCTGCCTTTCATCAGCATCAGCTCTGACGAGAAGATTTATAGCGAGCTGGGGAAGATCATTACGCATAGCAATGCTGTTGAAGATGCACGGCTCCTGGGCGGTTGTTCAAGAACATGTTACAACTTTGCGTGTGCCTAAATCGAACGTAGAACTAGCGCTTCAAGTCTGTTGGCGCTTCAACAATATCTTAGGCTTGTGGATGGTGCAGAAACTGTCTCGGAGGGTGAAGATGCAGCAGTCGAAATGGACATCTTTGCAGATGGCAGTCTAGTCGAGTGATCTTAAGTGCGTGGAAAGAGGTCCCTACACGGCATGCGGAGTGTACTTACTACTGGGTCAGCTTAAGCCTGTCATTTGTAATCCATATGTCTGAAACTGCTTGTTGAAGTAGAGCTTTTGCCAACAATGGCCCACTTAATGTACCATCTTGCAAGCAAAAGTTGGGATCCTGTCCCTGCGGGTCCAGGTGCCTGAGCAACACATACCATCATGCCGTCTTGCGTAACTTAGTTGCTATACCGATGCCCTGAACCGTCCTGAGCCAAACATTTTAAGCCTCTCGCAGAACGACGACGACGGCGGCGGCGGCGGCGGCGACGACGACGACGACGACCACAATTACTACCACTCATACACTACCACGGTTACGACTGCTTTTCCTCCTGCTGCCGATGGTGCTGCTATCCTCAAACCCAGAACGTTTCCAAACTTCCCTTGAAACCTGATCTAGGATTGCGGCTGCCCCTACCCAGACATTCCAGACATACGTAGAAATGGCATCTATGCCAACCATTGGGGGATTTGGAGCCCGTTCTATTTGTATTTGGGAATTCTATTAAACCTGACCGAGTTTAGATTTTGTTGAACACTCGGGCCCTCACGATTGGCCTTTGGATTATCGCATGCCAAAATTGGGCACCGGATTGATTTTCGGGTTTCTCAAAATGCTCCAGCCATCTGGTTCGTGCACAACTCAAGAGGGTCTAGGGGCTTCCGGTGTAAGAGTTTAAAGGTGCTTTGGGTGTTGGGGCAAAGGTTCTGGGTATACATCGGTCATGCAGGGGCATGTCGGCATTGTTAATTGCACTAGTGTTTCTTGACATGCCTATCTAGCAAACCTCTTAGTAGTGCAGTATGCAACCTCTAGCTTAATTCGCTATTAGAATCCAAAAGGTTACCCTTTTTTTTGCAGACAGTAGGTGGTCTCGACAGGGGATATGGTTCTCATATCCTTCACCCGTGGATAAACAAAGGTGCGCAGGGACATTTTGAGAAAATTCTAGCTGCATGCGTTTGAACGAATTGGATGTGACAGAGGCATCTGAGATAGTTCTTGCCGAGATGTACAGTTGGTGGCCCCTATGAGAGAAGACCTCAGGAGTAATTATTCTGGGACAACATACAAATCTGCCAAGTTGTGAGCCCCAAGCCACACCTTTTCAGATAGCTATAGGGATGGGCGGCACAACATCTGTACCATTCCAGACAGTGGAAGCTGAGCTGTCGGATTGTACAAAGCACGGCTATGCTCTCAGCCTGCGGATGGGTCCCCCTGATGGCCGACAAAAACTGGTACAATAGTACTGATAGTAATATTAGTAATGATAACAGTAAACATCATAGTAGTCATAGTTTTTTTTCACATTCATAGTCCATGATTACAACTTTTATGGAATTCAGACCCAGACTTATTACCGCCAAAATCTACTTACAACCCAAGTCACTATCAGGGGCCCTCCATCCACACTGCAGGCGCTTGGGTTTCGGCGACCTGAGAAAACCTTATTTGGCACCCTCGCCCAGACTTACATGTATTTCCAAAAGTAACTCTATATCTGTTGAAGTTGTTCTTCGAACACGAAAGGCAATAAACTCCTAAGCCCTAAACCGTAAACCCTACACCCTAAACCCCAAACCAGCATAGTTGCCTCCCCAAGATCTAGCATCTCCTACCTCCTGTTTCATAGGGTCTGGGGTTTAGTGGTTTAGGGGTTTAGGCTTTGAGGCGTTGAGGGTTTAGGGTTTAGGGGACAGTATAGCCCCGCATAAACCCCACAATAACAAACACCGATTACCATTACCTTACCGCCTCTACGCCATCCAGAGAAACATCTCTTGTTGAAGGTGGGCTTGGCCTAACAGTATTGGGCGATGACCCATTCACTGTCCCTCGGTTGGGGTGAAAGTGTTCCAGGAAAGGTCCGTGCTTGAGTTTTCTCAATTAACGGTCGTCCTCATACATACTGCATATTCAACACCGTCCTTATTACAGGGAGCCCTCAAAACGGGACCTACATTTTTTTAACACCCCTGTATTCCGTATATTCCTTAAAGACTTACTGTTTCGGGCCTTTGGCAACTGCTGTGCGTTAAGCTCCGGGATCTTTCTGCATTGCCTACACCGTAAACCAACCCCAATGATGCTAATCCGGAAACCCTAAAGGCGGTACGAGTGGATGGGGAGGTCTGAGTAGAGCTCGCTCACACAAGCCGCGTTCGGATGAGAGTAGAGTGTCATCTATGCATGCGGGGTGCCTTCAGGGCTTCCACAGTCGGATACATGCATGAGTGATGGGGAGCTGCCACTGGCTGCATTTCTGTCAAGCAGTTTTGCTTCTGTTGGGGGATTTCTGAGATTGGGGTCCCTTTCTGGGGCGACTATACTACTGTAAGGATTATAGTATTGCCTGAAGTCAGTCTCAAAATTTATGGGGGGCTACCTTTTGCTTTCATACGAAGAGATTGTAACAGCCTTTGCCAGAGAGCACGGCTGAAACATGTTTGGACCGTAATAATTGTCCAGCTGGAGCTACAGATGCTTGTCATACAGGGTGCAGCAGCAAGTGCTTAGGGTGGAGGGTTTGGGAGTTCATACGGGCTCACAACGATGCGGTAAAACCTGCACAATTTTCTGGCACTGATGGGAACTGCGCAGCAGAAGGCGATGCCTTCACATGCTATGATACTTGCTGTTTAGGTGTCCAACGCTGCGGCTTGTTCAGTTTCAGACCTCCCTCGGAACCTCTTTCTTTCCAGCGGGCTGATCTCGAAACCATGCAGGGAAAGCTTGCACTTTAGATTCGGAGTTGAAGTAGAAGTAGTAGAGAATGATTTTGAAGCATCGTATTCTGAGGTGAGGTTTCTAATCTAAACCCCAATGGCCTGCCAGCGACTGCCTCCAAATGTTGGGAAGCAGTCGAAGTACATGTACGCACCGGCAGCAGGGCGTTCTGTGGATTTCCACTCTTTCCACTAAGGCTTATTTAAGAACAATCCAAGCTGCTACACGTTTGGCTGGCAACTAAAATTGTGTAGTAGTAATCGTATTGTGTAGTAGTAATCTTAGGCAGGTTGAAGGAAACATCTGCTAGTCACTTACTTGCGAACTTTAAGGGTTGGGGCCCTTGGAATGTTGTTGTGCCAAATCGCTTCAGCTTTTCCGGAGCACGGTATGCGTTCATGTTTGCTTTTGGCTCCCAGAGGGCGTGTATGCAACCTCTACTGCTGGCTTCAACTCAGCCACACGCTGGGAGAAGAACCCGATTCAGAAGCAAGCTCCTCCTAGATTTGGAAGGCCAAGTATGTTGCACCGAAGCATTTGTGAACCGCACTCGGCCGTCCTGGCGAAACAGGCAGAAGGTCGTAGAGCTTCAACGTCTTTATGTTTGGGGTCTTTGTGCCTAAAATTCACGGTGAGGTGAGACCAGGCTGCCTTGCTACTACATCTTATCATGGGACAGCTTACTCTTAGAGGGTCAGGGTGACGAGGGCGCAGACGTTTAAATCCTATATCAATAGCTTATGGGACCTTGAATTCTACTTGCCCCCGCGAGGTGTCACTGACAATTCAATCAATATCTCAGGGTTCCCTGTACCCACTGGGACATTAAACGAGATTGCAGGTCGTCTTGGATCTCTACAAGTCATACTTTCCCAACATGAGGGAAACCCCAATGTTGACCCCAAAAGATTACAGTCGTCATTTGTGAGACCCCCAGAATGGTACCCAACCCTAAACCCTAAACCCTAAATCCTTTTTAGCGCATGAGATGCTTTTCGACAACTGAGCATAGGCCGTGGGCTGCCAGATGTTTCTTCCAGGACTTGGAGGTTTCCTACAGTGAGCTTTTTGGCGGATTCCTAGAACAAGGATTGTGCAGTACTTGCTGGGTAGGCTCCTGGGATAATTAATATTTTCCTTAATGGCTTTAGTAAGGGACCCTATATATTAACATTTTTCAAAGGGTTTTAGGAGCCAACCCAAGTTGGCAGTGTATAGTACGAGATTCCTGTTCGTGGGAAGCCGCCATGTGGCTTATAGTTTGTCATAGATTCAATTTGCGGATAGCTTTGTACCTGGCGGTCTCCCAGCTGACAAGCACGGATGACTGTCATGCTTGATTGTTCAATGCTGGTGCTAGGCCTTAACCCTGAACCCCAAACCCTAAACCCTGAACCCCAACCCTAAACCCTGAACCCTAAACTGCACAGCGGCCGTCAGATCCTAAGCCCCAAACTCGAAACCCTCAAGTTTGAACGGCCACATTCCACAGTGGCAGACGTGGCATGTAGCCCCAAAACCTGCATCGCCAGCATACTTATTAGATCGGAGAGTTACGGATTGGGTGCAGGGTTGAGGGTTTGGGATCGAGAACGCTTCATGGACACCCTAAAAATCGTCTTGAATTCCCTACATACCCCATCGTCCCTACATCCTATTCCTTCAATCCCTACGAACCATCAGTGAGCATCTAAGGAATCATGTCACAGCCGCCCCGGAATGTGTGAGATTGCAGGAGGCAGCTAGTGTTGACAAATGTTGACAGGACTTATGCGACTCATGTGCATGTGCTTCAGGCCAGGACGGGCTTAACAGATGGAGCATGGCAGACTCCGTAGTACAGACTATCATCACTGAAGTGCAATTTCGAAGCTCAGGTGCATTTGGCTTGAGGTATTTCACTTAATATTAGGCGTTTCCAGACATTTGGGCCCCCCTTTTCGGAGGTCCCTGTACTAGCAAGGGCTAGTGTGCATTGGCGTCCATATTGGGGCGGCCTGTTTATGGAAATCCCCGTATGCAGTACTTGTCCTCATTGGCGTACTTTTCTCGGAAAAGGCAAGGACTAGCACCTCTTTGCAGCGACAGCCAGTCGAAGCTGCGGTCAGCGACACCTCAAAAGCCTGGATAATGTGGACGCCGGAGTAATTCCCAATATCATCGCCCTAATTAGATGTCTTTCACATTTCTGCTATTGGGTACCTCAAGTTGACCTCGA